GAGCCTTCAGCCTCGACATTGTCTGTCTGTCTGCTCTCTCTCTCACGGCATATCGATTTCTCTGTTTCTTTCTGTCCCTGCTTCCTCTCACCTGGGCTTCTCTATGGCTCTGCCTCTCTCTGGAATGACCGTTGTCTTCATTCTGTCACTGTCCCTCTCCCTGTGACTTTTTCTGTCTCTCTGCAGATAAGTTTCATTTCTCTGGATGTTCGGCTGTTGTGTCTCCATTTAAGTCCGCCTGCTTCCTGACACTTGCTTTCTATCTAGTGCTGGCACAGTCTCTGCAAGTCTCTTTCTGTCCTACTTTGTAAGTTTCTCCCTCTCCTTCTCTCTGTCCACTGTCTCTCTGCCTGAGCCTCTTAGTCTTGGGCACTATCTCTGTGGGTCTCTGAGCCCCCAGCCCCTACAGGGGCCGACTGCCATGCCTGGACCCTTAGGGGAGTGTGTGCCCCCAGCCTCCCCCCACCAGCATGCTGGTGTATATATAAACGTATATGTGCGTATTATTTATATCTGTACCCAGGCAGGAGGGGAAGACACTGGGGCCTTTGTGTAGCCGCAGCCTGCCCGCCCGCCACTCTTCTCCCTTCGTCCCTGCCGCCCGCCTGCCTCCACTCCCCCTGCACAGAAAGGTTCCTGTGGGGCCTGCCAGCTTCCTCTGCCTGAGGTGTGAGTGGGCACGCCACGGGTGAGGCGGGCAGGAGGGCCTGGGGGTTTTTTCCAGCTCTAGGAAGCTTTCTGGGTGGGGAGGGTTCTGGAAGGAACGGGAGTTCTCAGCAGGGCTGCTGTGGGTCTGTGTGGACCTGCTGTCCCTGAGTGTCCTCGGGCCCTGAGCTGGCCTCTCCCTGGGGGTCTCTGAGCCCGTCTGTCCATCTAGATGCCATTCTGACGTTTTCTCTGTTGGTTTGGGGTCTCACTCACGCATGCAGGCACAGTCATCGGGCATTTGTGCTGGGCTCCGTGTTGAGAACACAGAGATAAATGTCGGTCCCAGTGGGTTCTATGCCATTTCTGTCTCATTTGCTCCATCCCTTTACCCCTGCTTGAAAGCTCCCACCTGTTCCTATTAAAACAAAATTCAGGCCGGGTGCAGTGGGTCATGCCTGCAATCCTAGCACTTTGGGAGGCTAAGGCAGGCAGATCACTTGAGGTCAGGAGTTCGAGACCAGCCTGCCTAACATGGTGAAATCCCATCTCTACTAAAAATATAAACATTAGCCAGGTGTGGTGGTGGGCACCTGTAATCCCAGCTACTCAGAAGGCTGAATCAGGAGAATGGCTTGAACCCTGGA